AGTAAGAAACAGTGAAAAATTAAAGGTGATCATCTCCCTAGGCATAAATAATATAATAGAATTCCCACATAATGAGAGATGCCGAAAATACGAAGAAAGAAAACTTAAAAAAATTACCCACATAACAAGGTGTAATAAGACAAGTGCTTGACATAAATTAATTAATATGAATCACATGCTCTCCCAATAAATGACAAAATTAACTCTAATTCTCATATGAGAGAATCATTCTGCTCTGTTTCGATTGCATCCATGATTATAAACATCTAATTTCATATGGTCAAATTTTTGTTCTTACTAATTAAAAAATTTAGTCAACCGTTTTGAGTCTAGACAATTTATTTTTATTTTTATTTTTATTTTTTCTTTTTTTGGGTAGAGATGTAGTGAAGAAACAACCTAGTATATGAGAAATGAAGGCGACTAGGTGAGCATCACTTAATATATAGTATAAAAAGAATCCATGTGATTCTCTCTTTCTCACCTTGCATTGGAACTAAATCCGTACGGCATGTGGTTTAAAATGTGATTATATACAATTACAACTCAATGACTAATATGAAACGAAATTATTTCATTTCACATGTGATAACGTCACAAATTAATATGTATCGTCTATTTATGTGATTTGATTATATTCAACAAAGTCTAACAGAGACAATAGTAAAGAGATGCGATACAGTGACGGTAGATGGAAGTGTTAGGGAACCGGATAGGCCTAAATTAACGTTGCCTAGCGTTGTAAATAGAGATATAGATCTGTTTAATTTGACTAACGTAACGGCCTTTAATAAAACCACATAGAGAAGAATGATTCATATAGTCGATCCCATTTGATGGGATTAAGGCTTGGTTTGGTTTGGTTTAACTTTAGAAAATAGATCTTTTTATTTCATTATCAATGATCATAAATAATCCACATCAACAAATCTTGATTTAAATTCAAAATAAAATAAGGGAAGTTATGAAACTTATAGTGACATGATACTTATAGATCATTAATTTTGTATTTTGATGATGTATTGCTACATTATTAAATTAAATAAATTAACCTCCCTCTCACGGTTAAAAAAGTGATTAATCATCTTGAAAAAATATATATAGTCTAATAAAACAATATATCTAGCTAATCATATTTATTAAGGTTGTATTTAGAAATCAAAGGTCAAGAATGAGTATTTCATTAAGAATCTTATTTCTAATAATATGATGACTGAATAATTTCATTTAGGTGTTTGAATATTAAGATCTCATTCCAACTTCATTCAATGAAAGAATCATAAAAATCTTTCCTACTCACTCAAAATTTCAATCACTCCATTTCAAATTTTCTTTCTAGGTATATTGCATTAAATGGAAGATGGTAAGAGAGAGAGCTTAAAATAAGGAAATACCAAGAAAAATAGGAAACCCATAATAATTAGGGTAGAGGTTTAGGGAACAAGGCACATAAGCTAGGGAGAAGGCCTAGCAAAAGCATATAAATATACAATAATTTTTTTCTCTTAAAAATCCCAATCTACATTTCAAACCGACCCAACCGACAATATACAACTCAACAATGTTTATGAGTAACATAAACAAACAAACATATGAAAATTTATGGGACAAAGTGATTTTTAATTCGAGTAGGATTTTCAAATCAAAGTATTCTCTCTCTGGCCCTGTTTGGTAGGGCTTATTTTCAGTTTATTTCAGTTTTTACCTTAATTTAAGCTATTTTGATGTGTTTGGTTCGATTTAACAATACAGCTTATAACTTTTTGTAAGTTAAAAATCAACTTATTCTTTGAGTGGGGAAGGAGAAGCTTAATTTATAAGTTAAAAATCAGCTTATGTTCACAGCTACAAGTTGTTATGCTATAAGTTATAATCACTTTCCCACAGTTCTACCAAATGGAGCCTCTGTCCACAAATTTATAGAAGCACATTTGTCTTTTAAGGTTCCATTTTCTCAATTAAAGGCCATATCGAGGGTGCAAAAAATAAAATAAATAATAATAAATACCAAAATATGCAACTAACTGACTTGAATGGGATTTTTTGAAAGTGTTTGAGATTTGTATGAATGGTTAGTTTTTCGCTCAAATATATAGAGTTTGTTTGGTATAACTTTTCTATAGTGCGAGAATTTTATGTTAATAAAAAATATCAATCACTATTCATTAGGGGTGGGCGCGGGTCGGTTGCGGCCACGAAACCTTCAATCCGCCATCCGTCCGCCAGATTGGCGGATTGAAGAAAATCAATCCGCATCCGTCCGCAATCGAGCGGATTAGCAGATTGATGGATGGATATAGATCGATTTGACGATTTAAAATTTTATAAATTTTTAACATAATTCAACTTGTGCACTTTTTCAAAAAAAAAAAAAGAAAAAAAAAGAAGAAAGAAAGAATTATAATCAATGACTTAAAAAAGTATTACAATCACTGTATACCTTATCCAAAGAAAGCAAGTTTAAAACTTTAGAATATCACTATCACTGCATACCTTATCCACATGTTACGATCACAGCATGATTCATCCACATAAAGTATTACAATTTGTGATTCTTAAAATATAATAACAATTCTTATCACCAAAACCATGAACAGAGCAGTAGTAAAGATTGTATGTCTCTGTATTGTTATATCTATATATATGTTTTTGAAAACAAAAAACCAACCAGTATATATCATATTTTCTATTTATTATTTTTAGAGCTAGATTAAAAACAAAAAAATATAGATAAATAATACATTTATTTTTTTCAATTCAAAAAATATATTCAAGTTGAAAACTTTTTTTCAACAGAATATTTAAACTATTTTTCAATTGAAAACACAAACATAATATTTATATAAATTGAAAATACAAAGTCCTATAAATTATTAGGGGTACTCACGATTTGGCGGTTTGGCGGTTCGGCGGTTCGGTTGCGGCCAAAGAAATCTCAAATCCGCCATCCGTCCGCCAAATTGGCGGATTGAAGAAAATCAATCCGCAACCGTCCGCTCGTCATCACGCATCCGTCCAAAATGCGGCGGATCGGTTCGGTTCGGTCGGTTTTGGCGGATCGGTATATCCGCTGCTCACCCCTACTATTCATTAGGTGTTGGTTAAGATTTATTTATGTATTCAAAGATATATTGAAATAAATGAATAATGTGTGAAAATATACAAAATATGTATCAAATTTTTAATTTTTTCAAATATTATTTGAACCTTAACTAAGGTTGACTCAGCCATAGTTAGTAGGACCCATATTGACTTGGTGGAACGTTGAAATTTGGATTCCCAAAAGAATGTATTAATAGTGTGTCGTTAAGTACCCAACACTTCCTCAAGATGTTACCTATAAACACACCAATATTTATGTTGTATAATTCTTCTTCTCCTTCTTCCTCCTTATTAATAGTTAAACTATGCAAATGCAAATATATATAATATAAAATAAAAATTACAAAAAAAAAAAAAACTTTGATTTGGTTGCCAATAATAGTATAAAGTGGACTGCATAGTAAAGGGGTCAATATTAATTAGCACATTTAAAGAATTGGGAATAAATTAAAGGATGGTTGAGAATTTGGACTAAAAGGTTGGGTTTTGGCAAAGCCATTGGGAAACAATTAAGCTATTGCTATCATTCCTAATCTCCATACTGAAATATATGAATGCAATTTATGAGGTTGAGCAAAAATATGGCATAATTAATAAGAAAAGAGTAAGAATTCAAATATAGGAAAGTATCATAAAGAAATAATATGTTGTTTAGATTCGATTATTATAGAGTAATGCTATACAGACAAAAAAACTTTATACATAATTTTCATATATAATGATGTGACTCATTATGGACCATTTACTTCACAATAAAACACCATTGAAGATGAATTTATTTATAATAATGTCAATGCCACATCATTCTTATCAAGTTTTTTATATGAATTTTATGTGCTGAGATTTATATTTAAAATGAATCTAAACTACATATTATTTTTTTGAGTGCTTTGTTGTGTTTGAGTTGTTGGTCTCTAGTATTACTAAATAAGGTTCTTCCTGATTAAGTACAGTGTTTTAGTTCAAATTTTACTTCTTGTGTGATATATCTTACTTTCCTATTGATTTTAAAATAATGATAATAAGAAGAATAAATTGACCAAAAATGGTTTGAGAGTTCACGAAAACATATTCAAAGTCAGCAATACTTATATTCTAACCAAGTTTAAATCTAATCATGCACATTCCGAGATGCATAGTTTTTCTTCACGATAAAAGTTGAACTAGAAAAGACTGGCATTTATACTTAAGAAAACCAGGGTTCATGAACAAAGATGTGGGATAAGGGGACTGAATAGGCAGCTTTTGAAAATTTGGGAAAAAAATTAAAACCTATTGATGTTTGTCCAAAAGGGTATTTACAGCTTATCACAAACAAATCCAAACATAGTGCATTCAATCAGTGGGCAAATTAATATGATATTATGATATGGTACGGTAGAGTAATTATTTTACTGTGCAACTCCTAATATATCTATCATTTCTTTTCAAAACCAGCCATTACAAAGGACAATCTCAATCAGAGGTGTATATACAAATGCAAAAAAAGAAAATAATAATAATAATAATAATAATAATAATAATAATGGAAAAAAAAAAAGAGTATTGGCCATGACTTGAGAGATCACTATAATATCAAAGTACTGTTTGGTTTGTGTTATAAACTTATAAATCAAAGGCTTATTGATTTCCATGTCCAATGCATTGTCTCTCTCTCTCTCTCTCTCTCTCTCTCTCTCTCTCTCATTGTCTTCCTTTGTTCCTATGCCATGTTCGAGGAGTCTTGAAGACCAACCTCCCCCCCACAATAACATGGACACTTCTTTGAAGAAATTAAGGTTTGCACTTTTTTTTTTTCTTTTTCTTTTTTTAATTTGGTTAAATCATTAAGTTATATATGTACTCATTATTTATTGGGTGTTTTTTTTCTTTCTTTCTTTTTTCTTGCAGTTGTTCAATGTCTCATCCTCATTCAACAACTCTTATCTAGTTTTGCCTCTCTCTCTCTCTCTCCATCTCTGTGTTTCTCTCTAACTCAAACAAGATTGTGAGCAATGAGTGAATCTTTAGAAATTGAGGGTGATAACCACATAGCCTCAAAGGAAGAAGAGCACAATCAAGAAACAAAGACAACAAGTGTAAATAAGTTCTTCCCCTCTATTACATATCATTTGCCGGCGAGCGAGGTAACTCTCTCTCTCTCTCTCTCTCTCTGTCTCTCTCTCTCCCTCTCAATGTGTTTACTGTTTTAGGACACCATTTTTCACCACCAATTTTTGTCACCCAAGGTGCACTGAGTATATATATTATAATTTTTTTAATAAAACTTATAGATTCTAGTCACTGAACTATATTTTCTGAAATTAATTTTTTTTTTCCATAACCACAATAATATTGAATTATAGAACAAAAGGTTGCCATGTAATCGCTAACCAAACAAACCATAAACAGTAAAAATATATAACAATTTTTTTGTGCATAATTATTCTCAGTAATGTGGCAATGTTAGTTTTATAATTAAAAGCCGTCTTTATGATTTTTTTTATTTTTAAATGCTAGGTTTACAGCCATATCGTTATTTGTTCAAATTCTTTTTTCTTTCTCTTTTTTTTTTTTTTTTTTTGTTATTTTTACTCTTAACAATTTAAGTTTTCTTTTTTCTTGCGACTTTTTTTTTTTTTCTAAAAAAGACGAAATTACTAACTAGTGGTAATTCGCTAAATAGTTTTATGATCAAGAATATAATATGTGTTCTGGTTAAAGCTTGTCAGAGTTATGCATGTGTAACAAATTCATGTGATTATATTACTATATAGTGTTATTTTTGAGTTTTATCTCATCTTCCGTCTGTTTTTGAGAGAATAGTCAAGTGATTCTCTTTAATTCTCTTTTCCATGTCAGGATGATCATAGTTTTATATTAAATTAGAGTAACTCTACCAGTTATTGTCAAACTAGCAATGTCAAATTTTAACTATATTATTCTACCGATGCAAATGTCATTTGGGCACATTGAGACCATTACCTTCTCTGGTCCATTAAATGTCTAACATTGAATCAAAACTATCTTTTCAGTGAGCAGAGTTTTCACAAACGACATTGCTAAATCTTATGTCAAATTTAGTATTGTCATTTTTAGATAAATTACGTAAATGATCTTTGTAATTTATATAATGTATTAATTTTGTTTATATTATTTTAATTTGTTCGATTTTGCCCTTAATTTAACGGATTGTGTCATATTAATCCAACAAATAACAGCGGTTAAGTTTGGTGGACAGAAAATCAAACGATGTGTCAATTTGATCCTTATAGTTTCCAGATTGTGTCAATTTGATCCCGGTCAAAATCAAGCAAATTAAAATAATAGGGACCAAATTGACACATTGTGTAAACTATATGGACCAAATTAACACATCGTTTGAGCACGCGAGAACTTTTCGTCCACCAAACCTTACAATTGTTATTTATTGGACTAATATGACACAATCCGTTAACTTAAGGGGTAAAATCGAGCAAATTAAAATAACATGAACCAAATTAACATATCATATAAACTACAAGAACCAATTACATAATTTACCTGTCATTTTTTTAAATAAGGTTTGACAAACTGGAATTAAATTTTTAGAAAGACTAACCAAGGTTTAATTTTGGCAATTGTTTTAACACCTTATTGGAGATGTTCTAATTTGTCATTAAAGCATACCACTGTACTAATACAATGACAACACTGCATTTAATACGTAATTTTTGGTATAAAAATTTGATCATCACATCATTACTTTCATATAAATGCATCTGGTGAAAGGCTTTCCGACAATGAAGTAATGGTTACTGACTTTAAGACCCAATTTTTATTTTAATTTTTTTTAAAATAAAGTTTAGACTAAATATTTTAGGAACTTCTGATTTTTATTTTGATGTTGGAATCCTCAAATGGCAAGGGACCATAACTTTTCTGTCTTCTTCAAGCATGTTTGTGCAAGTGATCATGTTCTTAAAGTCTTTCTTTATACCCATACAAGTACACTATTCATGTCTTAAATTAAACTTAGATGCCCATACAAAAGCAATAAAAAGTACCCATATAGAGTTGGGTCATGCTGGTCCTGCTTAAAAAAATTTATTCTTACAAAAAAATTCATACAAAATCTTATACATAACAACATTTTTACAATTAACTGTCATCTTGGTAATGTTATAATTTCAGTACTTCCATATTTGTTGTTATATAAATAACAATATAATATTTAATAATTATTTAAGCAACTAACTAATAATGCAAGCTCATTATGCAATTTTGATGAAATTATTTTGGAACAACTATTAAGAGTCAAAAAGATAGATTAAACTAACCTATAAACAAAGTTTCAAGTTATCAAAAAAATAATTTTTTTTAATAATCATTTAATCAACTTAAAATTTACTATAAACTCTTTGATAATATTCTTCAACCCGATCCACCAACCTGAATGTCATTCTTACGCACCTCCAACCCCAATAACATAGTCCCGGCTCCACACTCACTAACTACATGTTTGCAGTTTGTGTCTTCATGTGTGTGTGTATATGTAACATTTTGATGATGTTAGTGACAAATTTCCTTAATACCTTGTAGGTGGTAGAAGAGTTGCTAATGCTTGGGAAGATTGGATTCCCTGTACTGATGACAAGCTTGCTTTTATTCTCCAAATCAATAATTTCTGTGGTTTTCTTGGGTAGGATGGGCAAAATTGAGCTAGCAGGAGGCTCTCTTGCAATTTCTTTTGCAAATATTACAGGCTTCTCAGTCATCAAAGGCCTGTCTATGGCAATGGACCCAATTTGCTACCAAGCCTATGGAGCCAAAAGATGGTCAGTTCTTAGCCAGACATACCTCAAAACCGTCATCCTTCTCTTGTTCGCAACCCTTCCCATATCGCTACTATGGCTTAATGTCGAGCATGTCTTCCACTGGTTGGGTCAAGACAGTGTTATCACCAAAGTCGCCAAGGTTTACCTCCTGTTCTCCATTCCAGAGTTGATAGCCCATGCCCATGTCAACCCATTGAGGTCCTTTTTAAGGACACAGAGCTTGAACTCACCGGCAACCATAGTTGCCACTTGTACTACAATCCTCCACCTTCCCATTAACTATTTCTTCGCCACCTACTTGAAATTAGGGGTGAAAGGTATTGCCTTGAGCTCTGTTTGTTATATGTACAACATGAACATTGGGTTGTTAATTTACGTTTCCTTGTCAAAAGTAGCTCTAAAACCATGGGTTGGCGCCACTTTTATCTCTACATTTCAAGGATGGTGGCCATTGATCAGCCTCGCGATACCTAGCGTATGTTCTGTATGCTTGGAGTGGTGGTGGTATGAGATCATTTTGCTTCTAGGAGGCCTATTGAGCAATCCACAATCTTCTGTGGGGGCAATGGGGGTGTTAATTCAAACAACAGGCACAATTTATGTAATTCCATATTCTATAAGTTTAAGCGTGTCACAACGTGTTGGTCATGAGTTGGGTGCTGGCGAAGCAGGTCGTGCCCAAAGGGCAGCCATAATTGGAGTTATCGTTGCTTTTGTTTACGGACTTACCGCTTTGGGTGTGTCTTTTCCTATAAGAAATGTTTGGGGGAAGATGTATACTAATGACTCGCAAACCCTTGGATTAATTTCACAAGCGCTTCCAATCTTAGGCCTTGCTGAAGTTGGGAACGCGCCCCAGACAGTTGCCTGTGGAGCTCTCATGGGATCTGCTCGACCCAAGATGGGTGTTCGCATAAATCTCGCCGCATTCTACATCATTGGATTGCCAGTTGCTGTTTTCTTGGCATTCCATATGAATATTGGTTTTAAGGGACTATGGTGGGGGCTAGTAGCATCACAATATTCATGTGTGTTTATGATGTTGTACACATTGTATCAAACAGATTGGAGGCACCAAGCCAAGAGGGCTGAGGAGTTAACCCTGGCTGCTGGAGAGGAGGATGTGGTAACTGACCTTGTCGCCGCCTAATCTCTCGATCTCCATATAAGTACAACACATAATTCAGTGTAAATCATCATCTTTTTTGTCAAGAAAATTGCAGAGTCATAGCTGTCTAAAGTTTTCTTGGTTCTAAACTCATGATCTAGGAAGCAAAGGCCTTGGTTTGGTTTGGTGTTTTTTTTCTTTTTTTCCTCAATCATGTGCCAAAGAAGTGTACAATTTTTCATTAGTGTGCAGATTCAAAAAAATTCTAAGGTGGTCGAGATAAAATTGTTAGATTTATTTATTTTGATGATTTATTTAATTATATTTTTAATTTATTTGGAAGAGAAAAATAGAATCAAAATTTATTTTGATGATTTATTTGAAAGAGAAAAATAGAATCAACATTTATTTTGATGATTTTATGTTTTAATTTATTTGAAAGAGAAAAATAGAATCAAATTTATTTTGTCCCATTATTTTTCACCTAAACCTTTATCCTAAATGTTGTTAGAATGTATTTAATATTTGATTAAATCAAGAGTTCAAACAGCCCAAAAACAAAGGTTCAAACAGCCCAGCATAGCTGCAGTTCAAAAGATTCAAAAGGTTCAAGTGGAAGATATTCAAATTTGTATTAATGGAGTGGAAGATATTCAAATTAGTAATGATGGAAGTACAACGGCTATAAACGACTATAAATTCAAATGAACACAACGGCTATAAACAGTTATAAATTCAAATGAATACAACGGCTATAAACGGTTATAAGTTTCATTATATATACCAAAGCCTTTAATGTAAATAAGTTACAAAAAATTAGAAAATATTTTTTAATCTATAATCACTCATATCTATTCTCTACAACGGCTATAAACGACTATAAATTCAAATGAACACAACGGCTATAAACAGTTATAAATTCAAATGAATACAACGGCTATAAACGGTTATAAGTTTCATTATATATACCAAAGCCTTTAATGTAAATAAGTTACAAAAAATTAGAAAATATTCTTTAATCTATAATCACTCATATCTATTTTCTGAAAAATTCTCTGAGAAGTGTTCTTCAATTTTTGTTTACATCCTCTTTCAGAAATTATACACTGAGACGTATAACTTTAAGCCCATCTTTCCTGTGTGAGGTTTACAGAAAAATCAGAGTTTCATTTTTATATCTATCTATGAGAAATAATTCTTGTAGCTTTCTGTGAAAGCAAAAACACCTTCTTTTCAACCTTGTAAGAATGTAGTACACTCAGTGTTCTTGACGTAGAAAGTCTGTATAAAATCTGTGGAGGATTGCTCCATTTGTAAAGAGGTTGTTAGCACCCCTGTGAAACTAGAGCATAGTGGAAAATCTCAAGTGAAACTTGAGGAGTGGACGTAGGCCGAGTTGAAACCGAACCACTATAAATTTATTTGTCTCTCTCTCCCTTATCTCTTTATTTTATTTAAATTGGTGTTATTATATTTCACATTTTCACTGTACTAAAATCATTAACTGACATAGTTGTTAAAACACTTGTTTTATTTATTTTTATTTCATTAATTATATTTATTTATTATGCAAGTCATAATTTTTATTAGGGTATTATTAATTTTTAATTGTAAAAACCTAATTCACCCCTCCGCTCTTAGGTTATCTTTTGGGTAACAATTGGTATCAGAGCTTAGACTCTTGTTTTAGATTTAACCAACTGGGAGTTTCGATCCATGGCAACCTTAGCTGAAGGACAAGCCACAAATAGGCCACCATTGTTTGACGGAAACAACTATAGTCATTGGAAGGATAAGATGACCTTATACTTACAAGCCACTAATTATGCCATATGGATTATTGTCACTAAAGGTTTAAAAATTCCCATCAAATTAGTAGACAATATTAGTGTACCTAAAACTGAAGATGAATGTGATGAGAGGGATCACAAATTATTTCAAGCCAATGCTAAAACCAAACTCACTCTTATTTGTGAATTAGACTCTAAGGTGTATAATAAAATTTCAAGTTGTGATTCGGCAAAAGAAATTTGGGACAAACTTAAAGTAACTTATGAAGGTACAAACCAAGTAAAGGAATCTCGCATTGATACGCTTATTCATAGTTATGAATTGTTTAAAATAGACTCTGATGAATCTATTTCAAGTATGTTTACTAGATTTACTGAAATTGTAAACTCTTTAAAATCTCTTGGCAAAACTTATACTAACAGTGAGTTGGTAAAAAAAATTCTTAGGTGTTTACCAAAGAATTCGGAAGCAAAGGTCACCGCCATTATAGAAGCCAAAAATCTCTCCACACTTGAATTAGATGAGCTTATAGGTTCCCTTATGACTTATGAGATCACCATAAAAGGACATGAAAGATGTTAAAAACAAAAAGAAAAGTGAAATTGTATTCAAAGCCTCATCAAATGAAGAATGATATGAAAACTCCAGTAAGGATGAAAACTATACCATGTTTAGTAGAAATTTCAAAAAGCACTTAAAAAAAAAAACAATTACGGAGGAAAAAGACCTTTCAAGAAAGAGTACAACAAAGATAACAAGAAAGAGCCTATTATTTGCTATGAGTGCAAAAATCTTGGACATATGAAGATGAATTGTCCAAAATTGAAGAATCATGGAAAAGACTACAAAAGAAACAAAAAGGCCATAGTAGTAGCTTGGAAAGAAAGTGAAGATGAAAGTTCAAGTGATCACTACAACAAAAAGTGTTTTTGGAGACGAAAACTAATGACGAAAATAAATTTTGTCACGAAAGACTTACCCTTTAGTGAAGAAAATAATATTTTGTCTCCAAATGTGCCATTTTTAGAGAGAAAAATAAAATTTCGTCACAAATCTACATACCTAATAAAAAATTAGGTGACGAAATTATTTTTCGTCATTATTTTAATTTTTTTCGTCACCAAAATTTTTTCCCGCTATTAAAAAATTTGGGGGAATTATGCCACCAAGTTAGTGACAAAAAATTTCGTCTCTATTAAAAATATTATTAGTGAAGATAAATATTTTGTCACAAAATATTTCAATTTATAAAACTACGTAGTTTTGTGTTTTGGAGACAAATTCTATTCCTCACCAATTCCATGAACACCGTCCAACTCGCAGCACCGTCCACGAAATCCAGGTTAGTTGTAGTCTTTGTTCCTCTTTCTCTACCCCTCTCTCTATTCGGGTCTCTCGTTTCTCATTCTCTACCCTTACTCTGTCTTTAGACGCGTTTGGGTCAAGATGAGATTAAATCCATTCCATTCATTGCTTCTAACATTTCTATAACTTCTCTACTTTGAAGGTTCCATGAACAACTTGAATGATTTTAATTTGGGAAAAAAATATGAAAAATATAATGATTATCATGTTCTATATTCTGATTATGATATTCATATTATAACCAATATAATCATTGAATTGAATGGATTGTTGTTGATTCTACACGCTATAAAGTCTCATGATGTTCTGATTGTGTTTGCTAGGTGTTTGATAAAATGTCACAATGGCTAGGTTTTTTCTTTATTGTTTTGTTTTTTTGTTCTTTTTTTTGGTTGGAGAAACTAGTTCAATCTTAGATCTCTCCCATGGAGTTTGTGGCTTGTGGTAGTAAATTACTTCAACCCAAAGGCAGGTATGTCAGTGTTGTGTTAATTAAATCCTTTTAATGAATATGACTTTCCATATAGGTTGTATATATTACTGAATTTATTTTAATTTTCTTAATAATAAATCTTTTTCAACTACTATATAGTTATAAATAATGATTAATTTATTGTTGCTGACAGCCTTCAGGACAATGTTTTCAACTATGGGGAAAATGGTATGTATTAACTGTAGTTTTTTCAACATTTTATTTGTTCGTATCCATATTAGTAACTTGGGATTGGTGTTTGGCCTTTTATGTGGTCCTTATGTCAATTAGAATTCTGGATTGTTTTTGTATAATTGATTTAGAGTTCAGAAACCGAGAAAAATTTATTAGATCTTAATGATTGTCATGTTATCAGTCAATTCATGTTGTTATGTGGTTAGGTTTTGTTACACAGTTCCGTTGGAATTTTATGCACCCTGGTGCGATCACTGCAAAAACTTGGCTCCAATCTTGGATGAAGTTGCTGTTTCATTTGAAAGTGATGCTAATGTTGTCATTGCAAAGATTGTAAGATCTATAACCCAAACTAGCTAAAGACTACTTGAAGAGATTTGTTGCTTTGTCAGTATAGACGGTTATTTTCTGCAAATATTGTGCACTTGAATTATGTTTCAATATTACTCTCAAAGTACCTTTCCTTTAATGTTATTTCTGCCTTGCAAATTAAAATTGTTTTCTTTTGTCATTTCTAGGTTGCAGGTTCATGTACTGTTCATCTATGGCTTCTAAAACTGAAGAGTAAAATTCTTTTCCTTCAGGCTTTTACAACAATATATAGTAAAAATTATTCTTAATTAATCTTAGCTTGATATTTTGGCTCATCTATGTTGGTTTATTTCTCATCCATTAATATAGAAGCTTTTTGATTATTGAAATTTTTTTGTGTGTGTAGTATTTGCTCTCTCTCTCTTTGGTCCTAAAAGTTGTGGACAGAATTGTACAGCATTGTTGCTACACATGAATTAGCTCAATCTCAGTTCTTTATGCTCAACCTCAATCCTTAATGTTGAAAACTCTATCCCACATTGAGAAAAGTAAGAAAACACCAACTCTATCCCATATATGATTGTTAAATTTTTTGAGGTCTGCTCCTCCCTAGGGCTCACCATTGTTGTACTTTAGAAGAATCTGGTTTGTTTAAGGTATGAATCTTTCAATTTTTTTTCTCTATAATCTGAAGAATCTTCTGATTAAACTCTGAAACACCTACTTTTTAATTATTTAACACTGAAACACCTACTTCCCATTGATTTAACATTGAAACATCTATTTATGTCATTTTGTCATGGAATTAGGATTTATTTGATTTAACACATATTTTCTCATGGATTTAGGGTATTTTCTCATGGAATTAGGATTTATTTTATTTAACACTGATATTTTCTCATGGATTTAGGGTAATTTGATTTAACATTCATTCTCATGGATTGAGGGCTTTTTCTCATGGAATGATTGAATACTGAAACAATTGATTTCTTATGGATTAAGGGCTTTTACCCTAAGTTTTCTTTTCTTTTTAAAATTGAGAACTCATCTAGACTCGTTTCATATGATAAATTTGAGGTTTAATAGTCACACCATCAACTAGTGAGCAAATAGAAGAAGATTCGAACTAGAAA